CGGGGCGGAGGGGCGGCCGGGCGCCCGGGATTCCCTGTGGAAGCGCACGGACCCCGTCTCCCAGTCTCCAGCCGTCGCAGCCCGCCGCGCGCGCCGCGCCCTCTGGTCCTCGCGGTCAGCCGGTGAGTACCCCAGCCCCGCCTGGCACCGCGCGCCCCTTCCCGGCCTGGCGCCTTGTCCCAGACCCTGCGCCCCGCGGACCTGCCGGGCCTCTCGTCCTCGGCACCCGCCGAGCCCACTCGGGAACCTGTGACGCCCTGGCTGTGGAGGAGGTGATCTCGGCGTTCCGGCTGTGCCGGCGATGCCCCATGGGGCCGCTCCGAGCCGCCCCGCCGCCCCTGCAGTTCTGCCCCTGCGGGTTCCGGGACCCGCCCCAAGAACGGCCGGGGCTGGGGAGCAGGGATTGCGGCCTGAGCGACATCACCTGCGGGGCACAGCGGCCAGGACTCCGACGCCCGTCCCTCTTCTCTGCAGGTCAAGGCCGCGCCAGGGACGATGTACCAGAGCCTGGCGCTGGCCCCGAGCCCGGGTCAGGCCGCCTACGCGGACTCGGGCGCCTTTCTGCCCCCGCCGGGCGCGGGCTCCCCCGTGTTCGCTCCGCCGGCGCGCGTCCCTTCCATGCTGCCCTACCTGCCTGCGTGTGAGCCAGGCCCGCAGCCCCCCGCGCTCGCCGCGCACCCCGGCTGGGCGCAGGCGGCCGCGGCGGACTCGTCTTCTTTCGGCCCCGGCAGCCCGCACCCGCCGGCCGCTCAGCCGCCCGGCGCCACCGCTTTCCCCTTTGCGCCCAGCCCCCCGGGGCCCGGCGGTGGCGGCCCAGGGGCCCGGGACGGCGGCGCCTACCAGGGCGCAATGCTGGCTCGAGAGCAATACCCGGCCCTGCTCGGGCGGCCGGTGGGCTCCTCGTACCCTGCTGCATACCCAGCCTACGTGAGCACCGATGTGGCCCCGTCTTGGACCTCTGGACCCTTGGACGGCAGCGTCCTGCACAGCCTGCAGGGCCGCCCAGCTGGGCTCCCCGGCCGCAGAACCGCCTTCGGTGAGTGCAGGACTGGGAGGCGGCTCCACTGACTAGAGTCTGGGTGCCCGCCCGCCGTCCTGTGATGCAAACCCGCACCCTGCGAAATGCCTGCCGCCCCCCAATCAGGGCTTTCTCAGCCAGGTCGGGCACCAGCATAGGGCGGCCCAGAACTCTGGGGACATGGAAACCTGGGTGGAACCCAGCGGCTGCCACAAGCTCACCCGCCCCGAGATGAAAACCCCAGCTCTGAATTTCCTTCTGCCTTTCATTCACCTGAACCCAGTATTCTGGGATCACACCATTTGGAGCCTGCATCTTAAACGTTTTTATGAGAAGTTTTGAAAATTATTTTCTAAGAGTTCGAAATACTGGTTTATTTAAGAAAACTGCCACACTCGTCTCTGTTCTAGGATGTTAATGTATTCCAACTTGAGACCCAGTTCCAGTCGCTCTCCAGGGTATAAATTTGAGTAATCGGATTCCAGGCCTGTACAGAGGGGAATGCTCCCCATCCCCGCCTTCTGAGTAGTGGGTGCCACCGACACTTTCCTACCCCATCCCGAGCCGAGGACCATGCCTTTTTTGCTGCCGCAGTCTTTAGACTTGGCCCCCACCCCAGCCCCCAGCTCCTCTGTGCAGGAAGCGGGATCCACTTGGCGCCCACGCCCAGTGGTGATGATTGATCCCTGCCCCGCCTCCACCCAGGGCCCCCGGCGCCCAAGTGTCGCCAGTCCCTGCCCCAGTCTGGAGGGGGCCAGGAGTCCTCACCATCGTGGCCGTGTGCACCACTCAAGTAGGGGACAGTGACTCTGGTCCTTGTAGGATCTGGTCTGATTCAGCCTCACCACCACTGCCCCTCCAGATCGACCCACTTTGCAGAGGACAAGGCTCCCGCCTCCCCAGGGATCAGAATCACCAATGCTGGTGCTGGACCCCCATTTACAGGCAGTTCCCCGTCACCGCCCAGAGGCTGGATTTAGTAACCCTCCCCCCACCTTATAAAGCAGCCCTAATGAGTTATTTAAATCCGGCACAAACTTCACTGTATGTAAATTGAAAGTTAGAAATAAAATTAGAGAAAATAAATTTTGAAACAAACTAAAGTAAAGGCACAAAAAGGGAAGAAAGGGCCAAGTGCTGTGGGCTTGGGCAGAGCCTCACCCTCCCGCTGCCCTCCCGCAGCGTCCGACTTCCTGGAGGAGTTTCCCGGTGAGGGTCGCGAGTGCGTCAACTGTGGGGCCCTGTCCACCCCGTCTGTGGCGCCGGGACGGCACCGGCCACTACCTGTGCAACGCCTGCGGCCTCTACCACAAGATGAACGGCGTCAACCGGCCACTGGTGCGGCCGCAGAAGCGCCTGGTGAGTGCTGGGCGGCCGCGGGGCAGGAGGGGGCCGGGGAGCCCACGGGGAGCTCTCTGGGAAGCAGGAGGCCCAGGCCGGGATGACCGAGCCTGGCCCACTGCTGCGGGCCCCTGCGCTTGGGGCTGTGCACCCGCAGTGTCTGCCGAGCGTCCCAGAAAGGCTCCTCTGCCCCTGAGTGGGCTGGGACCTGCTGGGCAGGGGAACTTCCATGGGCCCTCTGGGGGTCAGACTTGCGGCTCCAAGGCTGCCTGGGGCTTCGGGCTGGCCAGGCGGTGGTGGGGAGCAGGGCAGGGTGGGGGTGGCCTGGCCCCAGGGAGGGGCTCGGGGGAGGGGCTGCTGGCCACATGCTTTGTTGGGGAACGCTGAGCCCTCCAGGGGAGGGGACTTTCTACAGTGCTGCAGGGATGGGAGGAGACCAGGTCTGTGGTTGTTTGCTGGGCGAAAGCTGTTTTCACTTTTGGTTCCTTCTGGTGTGTGTCTGGGTGGGGAGTAGGGGACTGGGAGCCCGACTTTTGCCCCCAGCAGGGCAGAGTCCCCAGAAGCTGCGTCAAGGTTTAGAGATACTTTATACTCTACTGTTTCACGGGCGAACTTTGATGTTCAAGTCAGTTTGCAGATGAGTGGTAGGCCTGCCGAGGTTGGCCAGACGTGCAGACAGCGAGGCCGCAGTGGCTCCCGGTGCCAGGCCTGGGCAGGGCTGTGTTTCTGGGCTAAGGCTGGTGTGAGCGCCGTCAGGCCCAGCTGGCTGGTTCTGGTGTGTCGGGCCCCGGGGGCGCGTGGGTGGGCTTTCGCTGCCGGGTGCCGGGCCGACCCAGCCAGCTGCGGCAGTCGCTGGTCTGGGCGTCAGAGCAGTTGGTTGTTGTCCTTTACTGGGAGCTTGAAGCCCCGGCTATGACAGCGCCAGGGCCAGACTCTTCGAGGCCCCAGCCTGGGCAGGCAGGAAGCAAGACTGACTCTGGGTCCGGCAGCTTGAGGGCAGTTGCTGTTTTTCTTCCTCTGATTTTGCCTGGAGTTTGGGGTTCTGCTGGTCCCCCAGCCTCCCCCCACCCACGCCGTGCCTCTCGGAGGGAGAGAGGGAGGACCCTCCGAGTCTACCTCACCCCTTCGGTCTCTGCCCTGTGACCACGCCCCAAGCCCAGGTGTGCCTCACTGGCCCGGTATCTGGCGTGGCCTCAGTGAGGGGGAGACTGAGGTTAAGAGGAGAGGGTCCTGGGGGACAGCAGCCTAGACCTCCTGACCCCAGGCAGCAGGCCAGCCCCCTCCTCTGACTCCCTGCACGCTCCCCAGGCCAAGCCCTGAACTGGGTGCCAAGGACAGGCTGGTGAACAGGAGATGTGGGCCCGCTCCACCTCGGCCCCCACCCCTCAAAGGGCTCACCTCCCAGCAGAAAATCTCTGGCTTGAGGGGTGGGCGGGCAAGGGCCACCATCTAAGTGTTGAGGCTTTTACCTTCACAGCAGCCAGATGACCCCCCGGGGCTCCAAGATGCTGAGCCACTTCCCTGGGCTCGCGGCCTGCAAGCGGCAGACCCAGGTTTGGCCCAGGCCTGTGGCCTCGGTCTCCCGTGGGCTCCCAACTCCCCTAAGCCCCCTGCCCCTGACCTGGACCTTCGTGCCCAGCCCCGTGAGATGAACTCAGGAACTGCCCCCTTGCCCGCCGGAAAGATAAATTAGACGGCATGTTCAGAGCGCGTAGACGAGCCGTGCCCCAGGCCGTGGGTGGGCTGGGTCCGGCACTTGGCCTGTGAGGTCTTTGTTTCCTAGTTTAAGGATATGGAAGAATCAACTTTGGGGTGCCTCCTAAGGTGTGTGCGTGCTCACCTCCCCGAGGCCACACGGGCCTACACAGATCTGAGTGTGGGACACACCCAGGGAGTGTTTGCCGAGTGGGGCGTGGAGGGTCGGGGGTCG